GGGGGGTCTCTCTCTCCGTGGGGGTCGTTGATTGTCCCCCTCCATCCCCCCAGAAACGGAGGCGAAGGCTCTGCTGAAGGAGCGGCAGAAGAAGGACAACCACAACCTGAGTGAGCTCGGGGGGGACCCCAGGGGGGGCTGAGGGGGCCCGGCGGGGTCAGCAGGGGGGTCTGACCCATGTTCCTCCCACCCTGATCCCCCCCTCCCGCAGTCGAGCGGCGCCGGCGCTTCAACATCAACGACCGGATCAAGGAACTGGGGACCCTCATTCCCAAATCCAACGACCCGTGAGTGGGGGACCCCCTCCCTGGGGGAACCTGGTGGCGGGGGGGGCGCTGGGACCCCCAGGGTGGGGCCTGGGAGGGACCCCAACATCCGGGGAGCACCTTGGGAGGGACCCCGACATCCAGGGAGCCTCGAGGTGGGGCCTGGGAGGGAACCCATCATCCAGAGACCCCCAAATGAATCCTGGGAGAAACCCTGGGAGGGCCCCCGACATCCAGGGACCCCTAGGGCAGGGCCTGGGAGGGACCCCAACATCCAAGGAGCCCCAGGGTGGATCCTGGGAGGGATCCCAACCTCCAGGGAGCCTCGGGGTGGGTCCTGGGAGGGACCCCAACATCCAGGGACCCCCAGGGCAGGGCCTGGGAGGGACCCTATCATTCAGAGATGCCCAGGGTGGGTTCTGGGAGGGACCCCAACATCCAGGGACCCCCAGGATGGATCCTGGGAGAAACCCTGGGAGGGCCCCCGACATCCAGGGATGGTTCCGGCAGGGAGATGCGCTGGAACAAGGGCACGATCCTGAAGGCCTCGGTGGATTATATCAGGAAGCTGCAGAAGGAGACCCAGCGCTCCCGGGAGCTGGAGCTGCACCAGCAGCGACTGGAGCAGGCGAATCGCAGCCTCCAGCTCCGGGTCCAGGTCTGGGAGGGGCCCTGAGAGGCTGGGGAGGTCCTTTTTGGGGCTGGAAGGTGCGGGATGAGGGACCTGAGGGGCTGGAAGGTGCGGGATGAGGGACCTGAGGGGCTTGGGAGGTTGTTTGTGGGGATGGAAGGTGTGGGATGAGGGACCTGAGGAGCTGGAGAGGAGCTGGATTGGATGAGCTGTGGGTCCAAACTGGGGGGTTTTAGAGCTGGGTGGAAGTGGGGGACTGCAGGGGGGGGCTGTGGGGCCGTTCTGGGGTTGTCCGGAGGAAGGTGCCCTTGGGGTCAGGGGGAGCAGAATCCAGGGAAGGGATGTGTTGGGATCTGGGGGGATCTGTGGAATCAGGGGGTGTATTTTCTGAGCTCCCGCGTCCCCCCAGGAACTGGAGCTGCAGGCGCAGGTTCACGGGCTGCCCCTCATCCCCCCCGTGGCTCCCATGGCCGAGGTGGGCTGCGAGGAGGCCTCCGGCGGCCCCCCCTTCCCCCCAGGCCCCCCCTCCACTCCCCAGTGCCTCCTGGACCTGGCGGTGGCCGACGAGCTGCCCTCGGAGCTCGGCCTGCCCCTCGACCTGGGGGGGCCCGAGGGGAGCCTGGATGACATCCTGATGGACGACGGGGGGGGGCTGTCGCCTCTCGGCCCCCCGGGCGCCCTCCTAGCCTCCCCCGGGCCCTCCCGTGCCTCCAGCCCCCGCAGCAGCCTCAGCATGGAGGACGAGTCCTGAGCACCCCCCTGGAAGGACCCTCGGGCGGAGCCCTCGTAGGGACCCCCCCTTCACCACGCGGCCCTTTGAAGGACCCCCCCGCAACACCCCTGAGGCCCCTGCGAGGTGCGGATGCTGTCTCAGGTGGGGCCCCACCACCACCACCGGGTGCCGTTTTAGGGCTCTTAAAACGGGCAAACGTTTTTTTTTAACGATGGCATCGGCCCTTTAAGCCGCTGCCACTGTGTTACCCTTTTAAGGTGCCCTGTGTGTGACCCCCCCCCCCCCCTTAAAGGACCTGGGCTGGGTGGGGCCCTTTTAAGGGGGGGGGGGGGGGGTCCCCCGAGGTGTGGCCCATTTAAGGCGCTGGCGTCGGGCCTCACCTGGGTGTGGCCCTTTAAAGGCCCCTCCCCCGCCCCTACGGGAGGCTCCGCCCCTCATGGCTGCCTTGGGCCCGCCCCTTCCTGGCTCTCCTCCAATCAGCAGCCTCCTGGGGGGCTGGCCCCTCCCAGGCGCGAAGCCCCGCCCATCCCGCTGTCACTCACGCCGGCCCCGCCCACTACTAACGCCCACCTGGACCCCGCCCCCTTTAGAGGCCCCGCCCACCAGCTCCACTTAAAGGGGCCGCTCCCCTTTTCCCCTCCCTCTTCTCCTCCTCCCCATCCCAATTTTGTACTGGACCCTCACGCGGGAAATAAACAGTTTGTTAACGATGGAGCCCCGTGTCCTCCCCCCTGTGCTGGCACCTCTCGGTGCCCCCGTGCCCTCTGTCTGTGCTGGCACCGCTCGGTTGAACCGACCGAGTCCGAGGCCGCGGAACGAGCGCGGGGCGAAGGCGCCGCCATTTTGGGGCGCCCCCCGTGAGGGGAGTGGGGGGGGGGCGGCGCCTCAGCGCGACCTCGGGGGGCGACCCCGAGACGGGTCGGGAGAGAAACGAGAAGAACCCGGAGATAATAACGTGGTTAAACCGTAGTTTGTGAGTTTTTAGTCTGTTTTTGACTCATGGAAGGTCCCCTTGCTGGGGTTGCACGGTTCCCGGAGTCCCGATGGGGTTAAACTGGGGGGGTGGGCGAGGAAGGGGCGCTGAGGGGGCGACTGGAACCCGTTTCCCTGAGGAAACGCGCGCGCCCCTCGCTCCCCTCCCGGATCGGCCGAATAAAAAAATTCCCCCACGCCCTCCCCACCTTTTCAGACGAACGACGTTCAGTGGTTTTTCCTCGCCGGGAGCAAAAGCCGGGCGGGAAGCGACGAACCGACCGAGGCCGAGGCCGCAGAACTCCCGTGAGGGGAGTGGGGGGGGGGGGGGGGGGAAAGGGCCTCAGCAGGACCTCAGGGGGGATCCCAAGACACGGTTGGGAGAGAAAGGAGAAGAAGCCGGAGATAATAATGGGATGACATAATAATTTTTAAGTGTTTAGTCTGTTTTAAACCAGCAATACGTCCCCTGGCGGGGGTGCACCGTTCCCGGAGGCACTGCAATACCGGGACGATGCGCGGAGCGGAGGGAGCAAGCTCCGGGTCCAACTCCCGCGTCCAAAAATCCGTTTAATATAAAGTCCTCTCATCGAGGACGTATCAGATATTAAACTGATAAGAACAGATACTACACTTGATCTTAGCCAAAAGGCCGAGAAGCGATAACGTCGAGAATTCCACACCCCGCCCGGGCCCCCACCGCCCGTCTTACACCTCACGGGGACCCCCGCACACCCCTCTGGACCTTCTCCATCCCCGTCCCCGCTCTCGCCCCGCTCATCCCGCACCTCTCGCCCGCGCCCCGCACCCACCGACCCCACAAAAACCCCCGAGACACCCCCAAAATAACGCTCCCACAATTCCCATCGCGTCCTCCGCGGTCTAATTTGCATAAACACGCCTTCCTTGTCGACATAACCGCGCCCCTCTCCACAGACCCCGCCCAGCGCGCCCAGCGCCGCGAGCTGATTGGCTGCATGTGCGCTGTATTTGCATTCGCCCCGCCCACTAAAGTCTTCAGCACAATTATTTCGCGATCGCCGGGTCCTCATTAGCATAACCCCGCCCCCAAATTTACACAGACCCCGCCCTGTTCTCCGAGTAGAGATGTCTTTAATTAGCGTGACCACGGTCTAAGTAGACACTATAAACCTAATCCCAGGCCTAACCGGGACCCCACCCCTAATTCTGGCCCTAATCCCAACCCTAATTTTGACCCTAATCACAGTGATTACACTAACCCTAAACATGACCCTAAAACCAGACCTAAACCTGACCCTAAAACCAGACCTAAACCTGACCCTAATCCCAGCCCTAAACCCGAACCTGACCTTAACCCTAAACCAGACCCTGACACTAACCCCAACCCTAAATGTGACCCTAAATCCCA